TTAGCAGTGTTAAGTCAACAAAAGCTCCGACTGCGTTCTGTCTATGGCCTCCGTTATTCAACAACCCCCAACATGAAAAGTTTTTCACAGGGATGAAAAGAAAAGCGGAGAGACAAAGATAATGAGACAACAGAAAGTCAACCGAAAGCTAAGAAGAGAAAATACGACGAAGCGTATTTAGCGCTTGGCTTCACTGTGACTACAGTTGGAGAAGAGGAAAGACCGGTGTGTTTGCTGTGTCTAAAAATGCTCGCAGCGGACAGCATGAAGCCAAATAAATTAGCGCGTCACTTAAATACGTTACATCCCAATCACGCCGATAAGCCGCTAGAGTTTTTTCAGCGAAAAAAATGTTAATAAGGAAAAATGTTATGCAGAGATGGATAGTCACGGTGAGGAGTGGGGGGCGCAAATAGTTTTCTTCTTGCTAGGGGGGGCGTAACGGAAATAATTGAGAAGCACTGGAGTAGGGGATGTTGGAGTAGGGTGTGTTGGAGTAGGGGATGTTGGAGTAGGGTATGTTGGAGTAGGGGATGTTGGAGTAGGGTATGTTGGAGTAGGGGATGTTGGAGTAGGGATGTTGGAGTAGGGGATGTTGGAGTAGGGATGTTGGAGTAGGGATGTTGGAGTAGGGGATGTTGGAGTAGGGTATGTTGGAGTAGGGATGTTGGAGTAGGGTATGTTGGAGTAGGGGATGTTGGAGTAGGGTATGTTGGGTAGGGTATGTTGGAGTAGGGGATGTTGGAGTAGGGATGTTGGAGTAGGGTATGTTGGAGTAGGGGATGTTGGAGTAGGGGATGTTGGAGTAGGGATGTTGGAGTAGGGTATGTTGGAGTAGGGGATGTTGGAGTAGGGGATGTTGGAGTAGGGGATGTTGGAGTAGGGATGTTGGAGTAGGGTATGTTGGAGTAGGGTATGTTGGAGTAGGGGATGTTGGAGTAGGGATGTTGGAGTAGGGGATGCTGGAGTAGCATCCTCCTTCTCTCTCCATTCTGCATCCATGAAGCCTCCTTTTCAACTCCTCTTCGATTTGTGGTCATAGTTCCAGGATCTGTTGAGCTTTTGGGATGCTACTTTTCTGGTCCCATATATATATATATATATATATATATATATATATATATATATATATATATATATATATATATATATATATATATATATATATATATATATATATAAAGGTTACCATGGTTACGCATAATAAAAAGTAGGACTCAAAATCCTTCCAGTAGACGACAGAAAATAAAAATAAATTTTGAGAACAACAAGCTGAGAGATACGAAAACAAAAGAAGCTGAAATTTTTATTTGAATTTGAATTTAGAGCGTCTTGTCACTTTAAATCCAAATGCTGCTGCTGGCCACGCCCCCAACTCACTATTTATATTCACAAGTGAAACTGGCAGCAAACGACCATATTTGAACATTATGCTAAAAATTTTCTGAATGGTAAGTCAACAACAAAACACTTGTGGAGTGGATTCATATGGAGCTAAATTGAGGCCTTAAAGTTGGTTCAAAACGGAAAAAAAAAAAAGTTTAATTGAAAAAATAAATATTTGAAAATGAAGAAAAAAGCTTCAAACTGAAATTAAAACTTGAAATGAAACTGAAGGGTTGGGGGGAATCAAAACTACTTTTTTTTCTTTTCAGTTTAATGTTTTGTCTTGGACTTTATGGCACCATTTTAATTCCTTATAAACCAGCTGACCAAGTGTGGCGGCACTCTGCTGTGGTTGCTAGGTAACAGGGCTGGGCTCGCTTTACGGTGTAACGCCTCAAACGTTATGAACAGTTTTATTTTGAAAGGCTAATTTTCCAGACACCAAAAAACATTAATTTGTTGCTAAGAAAAAAACCCCGTCTGGCTGGGGTATTAAATCGTTTGGGTTGTTTTTTTTGTTTGTTTGTTTTTTGAAGCAGCTGAGACCCAAATGGAAGCACAAAAATGTGAAAAATATGCATGATTGGATTAGCAGAAGAAGAAAAAAAGCAATAGCGTGTTTCTGCCTCTTGGAAGCAGCATCAGAAACAGGAAACGCTGCAGGCTGCTAGTTTCTCTGCCTTGGTCCCAAAAACCGCAGGGATCTTGCTGCTGCTGTAATCCTGGAGAAGGTTTTGGACTGCGACCAAGTCAGAAACCTCTGTATGATCAAGAACCGACAGACAGACTCTCTGACCCCAGCAGAACTTTGTCTTGTTGACATCTGATTTCATTGTTTCATTGTTTCCTGTTCAGCTTATAAGATAGACAGCTTGATTGGCTTAACAACTTCCTACTCTGAATCCTGTAGGAAGCTATAGAGCTTCCTACAGGAATCCTGTAGGAAGCTATAGAGCTTCCTACAGGATTCAGATCAATACTGTTCCATCCTGAGGTGTGACTGAGTTTTGAAGAAGGAGGTTCCCCAGACACGCTAGAGCGGCCTGTGAGTGATGGTCCTCAGCTGCTTCTGGGGCGAAGCCTCTCTAAAAATACGGTCTGTAATTTGACCAAACCCTCGCTGGGAGCCCACGGCCGCCGCTCTAATTCAGGCGGCGGTCATGATTGCACCGCGCCATTTTCCCCCCCGTGTTCGGCCTCAGCCTCGGTTTGCACTCCCACGCCGTGATTGATCTCGGCCTGTGACGGACAGGAAGTGTGTATTCATGTGTGAGTTCCTGCATACGCTCATGCATTTCGATCTGGAAGATAGCATCTGGATAACCAATAGGAAATGTGAAAGGGAAGGCTCTTAGGATTTGTTTGCCTTTCCTAAAATAGAAGAGCCAAATTTCAGCAGGCCGGACTTCAGTTCTCTGTAAATACATAAATGTCATTAGAAAATCACAGATAATCAACGTAATATCATAATTTATGTCAATTCAGATTTACAGCGGGCATTTATTGCATTGTGTGTCACTTATTGTGATAAATTACACATCATAATAAGAATTTTGATTCATTATTGACACAATAAATTGCAATTTTACTACTTTCTCCACTTTTTGTTCAATAAAATCTTCAATTAATATCAATAAGTTTGAAATATACAAATTAATTTGCAGTTTAATGATACAAATCACACTTCTTCACGTGACTGATGGTCTAGTGAAATGCGTTATTTAAATCATGTCTTTTTACAGAAGCATTTATAACACTAAACTTTATCTTTATGTTTAGGTTTGTTTTGCTGTAAAGGTTTCCTGCTGCAGTGTGTCCCAACGTTTTGCTTTTGTCTGACTGGTAAAAAAAGTAAAAATAAAGAATCCTCCTCCTTTCATTGTTTTCTGATTCCTGTCCAGCTGCTGTTTACATCTAAATGTTTCTTCCTGTCTTCATGACGTCTTCTGTTCGCTGATGTTCTCATGTTGGCTCTTTGTAGCCGTTCTGTTGACTGACTTTTATATTCAGTGCTACGTATAAATGCACGCCGCACTTTTCAGATGTCGACTTGTAATGGAATCTGAAAACGTGATGTTATTTTTGCATCTGCCTCACAACGAGGCTCTGCTGCGTTGGTGTAAGAGAGAGTGAAGGAATCCGCTTGGTTTCTTTACAAATGCGTCTTTGAGGTGTTTTAACATCTCATTTTGATCTCCAGCTGCTGAGTTGTTTTACTTCAATACATTATCGGACGAACACTCAGAGATGAAGCTTCCTGTGATTCGCTGATTATTTTGTGGTTGTGGTTTCGTTTGCCTTAAATATGCAAGCTGTTTCCTTTTATTCCATTTTTTTTTTTTTTTTGTGCTCTGTAAGCAGACGTGCTTCATTGAGGCAGTAATGAGGGCTAATATGACAGCCCACACTGCGCTGCAGAGGTCAGATCTCTTTCTCCTTGTCTCAGGATCTCACACCTCCTCCTGTGGCGTCTCCATCTGCAGCTCTGCGCTCTCATCCCACACATCCCATCCATCACACAGAAACAAAGACCAGTGCAGGGAGGATGACTCATCCACTCATCTGAAACACAAAGTCGTTAAAAAAATGGAGACAGTAGGTTACTAAAGTTCACTCACAAACTTTTATATGGCCCTCAAGGCTCCAGACTCCAAACATTCATGCAAGCTCAACAGGTTTTGTTTTGTTGCGTCATTTCATAACTTAGTTTATTGCAAAATTTCCATAAAGATGGTCAAAAACGTTGGAATTAAGTGATGCTAACTCCCAACTGTAGGGGGCAGTATTTCTTACTTCTACTTCACTGCAGCCTTGGCCTTACTTGATGTCAAGTTGTGATCTGGGATTGATGTGGTTAGTAACAAAAAAGTCACATTTGCCGTCATGCATAAGCACACAAATATTATAATATAGATAGATAGATAGATAGATAGATAGATAGATAGATAGATAGATAGATAGATAGATAGATAGATAGATAGATAGATAGATAGATAGATAGATAGATAGATAGATAGATAGATAGATAGATAGATAGATAGATAGATAGATAGATAGATAGATAGATAGATAGATAGATAGATAGATAGATAGATAGAGTAGTGCCACAAAATCTGTAAAAAATAAAAAATCACAAATCCTGAAGGGAATCAATATTATTTAATTTTAAGATTTATTTTGAAATAAATATATTATTTATTCCACTATTTAATTTTTGTTAATGGATTGTATTAATGCATTCATATTCTTGACATGACCCCAAAATTAAAAGGAGTTAGGATAAGTTCACACAGCAGGTTTGATGTTCAATTCTTACTATTTTTCTTCAGAAATCAGTGATTTTTTTGTTTGTTTTTTGTATATATTTAAAAGTTACATTCTTCCCCTTTACGAATCTATTTATTGTAGTTTGTTAAACTAGGGGGCCCAATCAGCATTCCCCCTCGGGCCGCCACAATTCCACAAACGGCCCTGCGTTTCCTTCTTTTTTGCTAATGATGTAATTTCTCCTGGTCCTGCAGCCCAGGATCCCCCAGCAGGCGGACTGCAGCCTGGTTTCTAGGTTTCAGAGCCAGGCTCCGCCTCTCCACCCAGCTCATCCAGCGGCGGCGGCGGCAGCGGCTCAGTGCGCCGCGGAGCGTCATTCAGCAGGACACGCCGCGGACCCGCCGGATCACCAAACACGATCCCTCCTCGCCTTCAAGCGGAAAACACCCCCACACGTCTCCCCAGACTGAGCAAACCGGTGGAAACATCGGAACAAACTCCGGGTTGGACCCGTAAGCCAGTGGCGGGCAGGAGGGATGCTGCTCCAGCCCGACACGGTGCAGCGCGCAGTCCGCCTCCGAGGCTGGTGATGCCCGCCGCGGTGCGGGGATCCCCACCCAGCTGCAGCGGCAGCAGGTCGGAACAACAGGGCGTCGGGGAGATGATGGTGGTTCGGCCGGGATCATGGCTAACGGAACCGGTTCTATCATGCTGAAATGCGTCGTGGTTGGAGACGGCGCAGTGGGGAAAACGTGTCTCCTGATGAGCTATGCCAACGACGCCTTTCCAGAGGAGTATGTGCCCACGGTGTTTGATCATTATGCAGGTGGGGTCACATTTCTGTCTCCTAACCATGACATCACGCCTCACTGAACTGCTCCTTTCTCTTTGTTTGGGGTTCATTTCCCAGCTTGAAATGCAATAAGCGGGTCAGAGAGGCGAGATTGGATCCCCCCTGACTTCTCTGCCACTCTTCCTGCAACTGCAATTCATCTGTTGCTGTAATCAGAACCACTTGTTCGGGGCTGGAAGTCCCTGACGACACCCTCACCTTCCAACTGCTCTTGTCATTTGTCTTGCAGTGAGCGTCAACGTTGGAGGGAAGCAGTACTTGTTGGGACTGTATGACACAGCTGGTCAGGTATGTTTTCAGTTTCACTCTGTCACATAAAAACCCGTCAGTTTTTGCTCTTTTTGTTTGTTTGTTTGTTTGTTTTGTTGGCTACGCCTGTCAAAATAAGCAATAAATGACATAATCACTTGAAAAATGAAAACAAACTCAGTGATGTCCCTTTGCATGATTTGCTGTTTCTCTCTTTCTGCCAAAAACTGGATGATAAAAATCTCAACAGAGAATAAATAATTCACCTTATTTGTTGTTTGGTTTATTTGTCTTGAATATTTCAAATGTTTTCCAGTTCCAGAATTTAAAGTTGATTGAGCTGACATTATTACTCCATTCCCATCTCAAAATAACAATATTATCGTTTATCGCGATAACTCCTGGAACAATAGATCGCGCAGCAATATTTATTCCTAGCATGTCTTTAAATATTTCAGCTCATTGAAGATACTCTGAGTAAATACAAAATGCCATTGGGCTGAAACGATTAATCAATTAATGAAATAATCATCAACTAATTTAGTAATTGATTAATGACTAGCTACAGTATGAAGACTAAAAAACTAAAATCAGAGCAGTGATTAAGATAAAACTGAACAAAAACAAATGCGTTTTTAATTTAAGCTAAAAGCTAAACATTCTTCTTTCTAATTGCAGTTTTAGTTTCATCTGATTGAAATACTGTGGGAAAAAAAGAAACTCCTTGAGTAGGGTTAATCAATTGGTTAATCAAAATAATAATCAACTGATCAGCTCTTCAGTGTATTGATAAATCAAGTTTTTCAAATGTTGGTTTATTTTAGCTTTGAATGTGTTCTTTGCTACAAACGATCAAGGTAAAAAAAGCTGTTTTTTTTGTGTTTTAAAAAATTATTGTTTATTTATGTTTTTAATTTGTTGCTAAGCTTCTACAAAAAGGCTGGCGTGGTTGAATGAAAAATTTCCAAAGGGTTATGTCACTTTTCTCCTTTCTTAACTTTGCACCTTATCAACCTTCCAGACCCCTCAGGTCTTCTGGTTCTGGACCAGAACCAGAACCAAACATGGAGAAGAAGCATTCAGCTTCTATGCACCACAGATCTGTAGCAAACCTCCAGAAAACTGCAAAGTTGCTGAAACACAGAATTCCTTTAATCAGGACGAAAAGCCCAGCTTGTGATCCATAATAGATGGAATATTGATTGATATTTGATGAGTATTTACTTGACAGTATTTAATAAAATGTGATGTTTATTGCTTGTTTCAAGTGGGACAAATCAAATTTTTTGAGGTGTTGAAAACATCAGTATTGGGCCGTTTAATTCAACTCCAGTTCGTTTGTCTAGAAAGTCGGATTCATTTGCGGTGAATCCACATTTGAATTTGTACAACCTAAAAATCTCACTTTCGCTTCGGTTGAAGCGAACTCTGCAACGCATATGTGAACACCAAGTAGATCAGAGACCCTCCTAAAGCAGGAAGTGGACTACAGTGCAAGGCATTCTGGGTAAATACAACCAAAAACAAAGTAATTTTGGTCTAGTTTCTAATACAAACATCTTACTGAAATAAGACAAACCAAACTTACAAGTAACTTTTCAGCAAGAAAGAGAGGTTTGTTTTAAGTACATAATTCCTTAATATTGATGAAGTGCTTGTGTTTTGGCAGATAAATTAACTCATAATATGGAAGAAATGTCTTCTTATAAATCAAATGATCTGCCAGTACTTTTTCCATCAATATTAAGACATTATTCACTTATTTTAAGCCTCTATATCTTTTGAAAAGTTACTTCAAGTTAGTTTTATTTCAAGTGTTTTAAGATATTTGAGCTAGAAACTAAACAAAAAAACCTTGTTTTTTTTCACTGAAAACATCCATCAAATATTGATTTCTGAACTCTTCCTGAGTTAAAACATCAGTGTTGCTGTTTCTAAATCAATGTGAACTTGTTTTTTTTCTTGCATTAACTTTTTTGTTAGTTTGACCATTTCGCATTTTCTGCAAATAAATAATAGATTTTTGCCTGGTATTTTAGGAGACATGTTGTCAGTAGTTCATAGAATAACTAGACCAAAAAATTATTTTACTCAAACATAAAGAGTAAAATCAGAGAAACTGATCATTTCAAGTGGTCTGTTAATTTTTTTCCAGAGCTGTATAGAAGGGGGTCAATGATTTTTCTCAGCGCTGCGTGTTTTCCGTCTGTCTAGCACTTTTCCCATGTGCTCTTCCATGGGCCAAAAGTTATTCAAGAGGGCCTCCAAAACGCCCACGGGGCTCCCAGCCACTAAGCTGCAACAGGTGATGGTTTTCACACATGGGTTTGCTGCCAGACTCTGGTGTGTCATGGACAGCGATGGCAGCGCGAGGCTTCAATACTTCTATTATGCACAGAACAGGGCTCCTATGTCCGGTAGTGATGTCACAGATTTTGCTGCCTAATGCTTGGGCTTTCTCTCCACAATGTGTCATTCAGTTGAGACTGTACTAAAGACTGCATCACACACACACACACACACACACACACACACACACACACACACACACACACACGCACACACACACACACACACACACACACACACACAATAATGTTTCCCCCTCAGCAGCGCAGCCAATTCACACACTGACGGAGGAAGACAAGCGCTGGTTTATTCGCTGCGAGACGTTTGCGACATTCGTTGACGTTTTTTTTTTTTTAATGATGAAAACAGGATTGTTAAGAATTTGACTGCAAAAACACAAAATCTTACCAAGTACTTTTGATCTAGTTTCTAGACCAAATGCATATTAGTGCACTTGAAATCAGACAAAATTAACTTATAAGTAACTTTTTAGCAAGTTAATAATTTCTTAATGTTGATGAAAAAGTTCTAGTTCCACCAGCTGATTATAATTAGTGAAATAATTAGTTGAACTAAAACTTTTTATTCAAAATTAAGAATTTATTTACTTAAAACAAGCTGCTGTATGTTGCTGAGAAGTTACTTTTAAGTCAGTTTCATCCAATTTAATGTGTATTAAGCTGTTTGGACTAGAAACTAAACTAATACTTGGTAATATTTTGTGTTTTTGAAGTGTAGATGTTCCAGTTGAAGGTTTTCACAAGCCAGTATAAATGAGGACTAGTCAACGAAGCTGCTTGAATCAGACGAAACCCAAACTGAACTGTTTGGTCAACATTGTTAGCTTGAACACACTGTTCATACAGTGAAACACGGTGGTGGCAGCATCATGCTGATTGTTCTGTCCAGCAGTGTGGCGCTCAGAAGATGAATGACTGGGGATGAAGTTGACCTTCCAGCAACTGTCAGAGCATCAAAAAGTAGCTTATTCAAGTGTTAGAATGGTCTAGTCAAAGTCATAAATCCAAATCCGATTAAGAATTGGTGGCAGAAGTTGAAAATAAATAAACTTTAATCTGTAACAAACATTTAACACTGGGACTGGAAGACATTATAAATGATCAAAATAAATAAATAAAGCAATTGAAGGTTCTGAAAACAAAACTTCCCTTTAAAAAGAGTTTAGAAACTCCAGACTGAAGACTTTGTCACCCGGTTTTGGTAGAAAGAGAAACAATCATGCAAATGAAAATTTTCGAGTTTCAATCTGTTTCTGTGCAAAGCTGGTGGAGCCGTACCACAAGCGACATGCAGCTGTTATTGCAACGTATAAATGCCCGTCACATTTTCAGATGTTTAATTGCAAAATATATATATAAAAAAACATGGGTCTGTTTACTGTCACAAACTTGCTGCTTTGTGTTGGTGGTTCAGGAAAGAATGAATAATCAGTGGAGAAAATAGAAATGCTGTTTGTATGGTGAACATTTTAAAGCATTTGCATGTAAAATTCTGCATCATGTCTTAGTTTTGGAAACTGAAGATAAAAAAAAAAACAAGGCGTACATTTCTGCAAAGAAATTCCTAAAATTTGGGAGAAAAACTTCAGAAATTTTGAGATTAATTTTAGAAATTTACAAAATGTTCAACAGAACACTTTAAAGTAATTTTGACGCTCAGAAATGTCCTAAATTTGAAGACTCTCAAATTTTCTGTTTTTTTTTTCTCACAAATGTATGACTTTTTGAGTTCAGAAATGTCTGAGTTTTTCCTAGAAAGTTTCAAAGATTAATCACAAGATTTTAGATTTTTGTTTCTCACAAATGTACAACTTTTTGGGCAGAAATGTCCTCCTCTTTTTTCTATCCATCTTCAGTGGCCCTAATATAGAAAAGTAAACAGATTTAAAATGTCTAGCCAGATTTACTGTGGACAATTTTTAAGATGGGAGACTTTGTTCTTCAGATCTTGACAAGATACTGCTGACTTCAAACTGGGTTATATTTTTGTTTTGTTTTTTGTAAAATTTGAAGTTGTTTTACAGAACCTGCGGCCTTCAAGCTTCCTTTCAAAGTGTGATTTTCTGTTTTAAATATGTGAAATGAAACCTTGCGTTTAGATTTTGGATTAATTTTATGTGTACTGTCACACTGCTAAGCACAGAAACTGACTGAGACGCAGCAGCCGCGGTTCTGGTGTTACTTTTAAAAGTGACAAAATACAGATTTGATCCTTCTTTGCACTCTTAAACTTCTGCATCCTTGGTGGACAAAGGAGCATTATTACAGATCCTTCCTGTACTTCATTTAATTTCAAATAACATTCCTGATATTTTTGCACAATCCTGTTGCCTGCACATTTCTTCCCACTTCTCCTGAACAGCTTATTGTGTTTTATGCTTCAAAGTTTTTTAGTTATTCTACTCATTTGCTCATCTTGGTCCATTGAACTTTGCTATTTTTAACAACTGCACAGTATTTCCCAACACTGTAAAGTTGCTCTCACTGGACAGTTTCATCATTTTACTTCTCTTTTTATATTCTTATGTCTGGTTGCTGCTGGTACACCTGAACTTCCAAACTGAAGCTCAGTACAGGATGTTTTTCTTACATTATTACATTAATAAATGCAAAGATTTGCAGCTTTTTCTCTTAGGGCCAAGGTGATGTTCTGGTTTGTTTGGGAGGTTA